AGAGCTCAGCTCTGGGAAGCTACTTCTTCTATCAATGAAAACATAATAAGATGCCAAAAAAATGGAACAAATGTTCTGTGCAAAGCTACAGACAGCTGCCCAGACTCATTAAAAAGCTTCAGCAAGTTTTGGCTCTGCATTGCCAACTGTCTTAGACATGCTGGTAGGAGCAGCGGTCGGTGTCTGTTGAAATAAAATTCTGTTTAAAAAAACAAAGATGTTCACTTCAAATGTGCAACAAACAGAGGAGTGTATTCAGCCCCTTCTATCTCATCTGTCTTGCAAGCAATGTTCTCAGAAGAATCTGTGAAACTTGTACTCACTGCTGTCTCAGTTAAAGGTGGAGTTGTCTGTCTCAACTCCCAGTGTCTGCCTGCCCGACACAATGCCAGTAATTTGTATGTGACCACTAATACTCCCCACAGTGTTTTAATCATGGTTTACTAGCAGTTATTTACATACACATACATAAATGCTATACAAGAGAGCAACATACAATTTCTTCTAAACTAGAAGTCTCCTATCTGTACCTTCTAAGACTTGGGGGTTATAGTCCAATCAAAAGGCTCTAAATCAGGGCAGGCAAAATATGGCCTGTGGGCCAGATCCAGCTCACCAGGCAATTTCATTTGGCTTGTGGGTGCCCACCGACTAAATGTACCCTGTTCAGCCTGCATGCCTTGCTTCCACCCTTGTGGGTGGAAGGACCTGGCCCAGCCAGCATGCAGCTTCTGAGCGAGGCTGCTGCCACTGCTGCAGCCACTGGGGGATCTTCTCAGCTTCCCTGGTGTCCTGCTCATGTCAGGTACTAGGTAGAGAAGTAGCAGGGGTGGGAGGGAGCTGCAGCTGGGAGGAAGCATGGAGCACAGGGCTGGCAGCAGCATGGAGCCCGCTCCCAGGGTGGCAGCAGGAGTGTGGAGCTTGGGTGGGCAGGTTGTAGGTGTGAGGGCAGGTGGGGGCATGTGGGGACCCCCCTACACAGTCCCCCCCATGGTCCACAGTCCCTGTCACTGGTGGCAGCAGCATGTGGAGGCACTCAGAGTGCTCGTGCCCCATGCAGGACTGCTGCCCGGTGGTGCATGGCTCTGGCCAGCACTGCACATGGTGGTAAGGAGGGCAGCCAGGCTGGACCACCTTTATCACATGGGGCTGCCTGCCGTGCATGTGAAGGTCCTTGCACTCACACGCCACCAGGGGAAGCCCCACGCGTTGGAGCCATCTGCCTTAGTTGTCGCCTGCCATGCAGGTCCTGGCACTCTGTTGGAAGTGGAGGGGAGCCCTGTTCCCTACTTTCCCATGGAGTCCAGGACCTTCATGGCAGGGAGTGGGGAAGGCAGCTGTTCCACTGTGCAGGGCTTCCCCCATTGTTGTACAAGTGCTGGGAACTGTACGTGGGCTGTGTGGAGCCCCATGTGATAGCAGCAGACTAGCCTGGCTGCCTCTTTGCCACCACTTGCAGTGCTGGCCAGAGCCATGTGCCACCAGGCAGCAGTGCTTGCGTGGGCCCTGAGTGCCTGCTGCTGCCACCCTGCACACTATGGGGGGTGGGGCAGGAGAATGTGGCGGGTCATATTGCTGTGACTCCAGCCCATGTAGGCATACCCAAACCAGCTTTAACCTAGATAGACGAAGGACTGCTAGCAGCCTAGCTGTGACATGTGTGGTTAGTGTGCATTGAGCTGCACAAGTATTTACTCTACTCTCAGATAACTTGCGCAGTTAGCTGCAGCATCCAAAAGGTCAGCAGGATAGTGATACTGGTACCCAGACTAGCTATTTTAATAGTTAGTTGAAGCATGTCTAGGCTGAAGTGACTGTAGCTTGTGTAGCCGTACTCCGTACCTTCTCCTCACTCACTGTGGAAAGAAAGATGCAAGCAAAGGCACTTGTTTCAAGTGTTCCTGTGGTTCAAGAACCTGGCATGTTCATACTTTATCCCCAGGATGCCTTACATACCCATTCCCACTTACATGACCTAGACCTGGAAATGTGGTGATGAAGCTGCTTTGGGGATGCATCCCCATAGCTGCTCTCAAATGTACTAGAGACAGAGGCCTTCACAGCAGCACCGCTGGAGCATGTCACCACCTGGCCATTTGGCATGTACAAGCAGGAGCAGGGGGGCAGGGTACACTCAGGAGCTGCCCTCCCCATCTGCAGTTCAAATCCATCTATAATGTCCATTCTCTGCACAAAGTGTTGGTATAGGGAAACTTCTTGCGTTCTCCACCCTAGTAGCTTAAGAATGCAGTGCTTGTCTGCATTGGGTATTAGGGGTGTGCGAAATGGGCGATATTCTATTCGGATTCAGATTCAGCCCAAATCGGGGACAGTGTTTCAATGTATTGATTCGGATCACTGTCCCCAATTTGATTTGGCCAAATCTGAATCTGAAGATTCAGTGCTGATTCGGAGAATCAGTGATTCAGCCATAGACACAGCTTTAAATTTTTTTTCTACATACCTCGAGGTACCAGGTGCTGCTCGTGAATGCTGTGATGGTGGGGCGGATGGAGCGTCCCACAGGAGCATAGGCAGGCCCCCCGCATGCTTGGCGGTGAATCCAGAAGTGGACCGGAAGTAGTTCCGAGTCCACCGCCAAGCACACAGGGGGGCCCCCCCACACCTCCCCAGCTTGGTGATCAGCCACAGGCAGACCCCGGGTGCCCCCCTAGACCTAGGAGACACAAGTTGCTGAGCCAGAGAGGGGCACGGGGGAGGTGGGGGGGGCACACCTGCATGCTCCCTGGTGGACCCGGAAGTGGACTGGAATTACTTCCTGTCTGCATCTGGGTCTACTGCCGAGCATGCTGGAGACCCCGCTATGCTCCGGTGTGATGCTCCATCTGCCCCAGCACCTCAGCATTCATGAGCCACCTGGTATCTTGAGGTATGTAGAAAAAACATTTAAAGCTGAGTCTACGTCCGAATTGTCAAATCTCTCCAAATTGATTTGGAGGATTCCAATTCAATTTGGAGAGATTAAAGGGTCTCCTGATTCAGTTTGGATTTGGAGATTTGGCCACCGAATCGGGCTGATTCTCTGCCAAATCGAATAATCGACCAAATCTTCGCACAGCCCTATTGGGTATCTCTATACTACCCAGTGTCAGAAAGCCCAAGACAGGCAAACTGCCCTTTTCCCCATTTATGTTGTTATTTCTCTGACACGTGTTAATCCCCTCATTACCCATGCACATTGTCTTTACTGATGCGTGTGTGCAGTGAGATTTAAGGGGACATATGCCAGGTTCCATACTTGGTAGAGCAATTCTAGGAACTGGTCTTTGGTGCATTGTGGGACAGCTTGTTTTCTAAATGGTCCCAAAGGCAGAGTGTTTTAGTTTTTTTAACCCTCCATCACAAGTGGCTATTTTGGCCCAGAGTGCTGCTCTAGCTGCAGAGATGGCCAGAATCACTGAGCCATTAGAGGAACTCTTCTACCTGTGACCCAACTGTTTATGATGTGGAACAGTTCTTCATAGGGTACATCTACACAAGAAGTTAAACGCGTGGTAGATTAAACCACAGCAAAAGTCGTGCTAGTGTGCTAATAAGCAGTAGAATTAATCTACTGTGCATTAGCATCAATCAGAAGGCATTTAAAAAGGTTACTGCACTGTACATTTAGTTAGTACCTGTTATTACAGGTACTAAACTTAATGCACAGTAACCACAGCACATTAATGTACATGTAGATGTGACCATAGAGAAGTTGGAAGGATCTGGGGGATTACAGGAATGTGTAAGGGTTCTAGACACAGATAGCATGGTGGAAACTAAATTTGGGAAACATGCTGAATACTGCACTTGCCCCTGTATCCTCAAATGTATACTGGCATTTGTGGAGATAAAGAACTATTGTAACTTACTGAAAGGATGACATTTTGCAAACATGGGATATCCCGCGGTGGCTTCAAGACTTCTGCTAAGGAAACAGATGTTCATGGACCTGTGTGAGTAGCCTACCCCAACCATCTATCAAAGCACAGAATAGAGGGATCCAATACCAGTAAGTAAGTAGATTGCAATTTCTGTCTAGAACCCGACTGCCAACAACTACTATAGGCCCACGACTACGTAGTTTATTGGCAAGTCTACTCTGAGGCTGCGGCTGATGGTGCAGATTTGCACTACTATTATGGAAGTTGTTTACCCGAGGGTTACTAGCATCAGAGACAAGGTATAAATAATTGAGTTTCAGGCAATAGTGATCAATGTCATATATGTGCCCACAGGACTTCCCACTAATATATATCCCCAAGAACCATAACTCTTTGGTTTTGAATAAATATCAAATGTAACTCTTTACACATGCTAGCTTGGGACACAGGGTGCTATTGGCTTGGCTTGTGTTGACTTGTTGGTTTTTAAGAAAAAACAACAAGTTCAATAAAACCTTTTGGCAGCTTCCTGCAGTTTACAGCAAAACCTTACTGCAACTTCCTGTTTCTTTGTAACTGAGTGGACAATGCCTTCTTTAAAAGAGAACTTTCCTTGTATATATTTGTGAGTAAAAGTTAACAATGAAGTCAGATCAGTCCACTGTTAAAAAGTAAATGTGTTTTTTAAACTTTCAAACAAGGTGTGACCAGGAAACCACAATGCAAATGAAAACTAAAAAGTGCTAACGAAGACAGCAGGTGGCTTCAATAACGACAGTATCTGCTACCTGCTGTCTCTCTCTAGTTTTCCTTTCCCCTCCCATCCCATTTGGAGGATGTGGTGCAAGTCTGTAAAGAGGTCAGGAGAGACTGAACTATATTTAGAGCTCTTCAAGCCCCAGGGAACCACTGACCAAAGCTGATCAAAGCCTGAGGGGCACCAAATCCTCCTTAACTGTAATTTTAAACGGCAATCTACTAGGAAATCCCACTGCCTTTGCAACAAAACTCTCCTCAAAAATAAGCAACCAACCCCTGCCCCAACACAAAAAACCAAACCAAACCTCATACATCCACCCACCCACAATAAACATGGAAAACAGCACTTCCTGGGGTGTGATTCTGGTTTGTGAAATTTTACTTGTATGGGCCACAGCTTCATCACTGAATAGTACCCCAAGACTTCCTCCAGAACATCTGATGGAACAGTTTGACTGATGGGTTGCTCTGGATTCACCACAAATTGAAGTCCCAAAAATCAGAGTCACTTCCTAGGAGCCCTCTACAGAAGCCACCAATCCCTCTTTCACCTTGTAAAGGCAGCCCCTATTTAGGGGGATGGAGTTGTGAGAGGCAGTGGATTTGCTGCTTGGGGCACTGGCAAAGCTCCACAAAGCAGGGGCACAAGGTGGGGACATGTACTGAAATGCAAAAATGTAAACCAGACATCCAGTCATCTTGAATCAGGCACCTTAAGTAATCTTCCATTGAAACTGCTCTTGCAAAGTCCCAGTAAAGCAACTTGGCTTGATGTGATGTGTAATGGTGATCTGCTACTGTGGCCAAAATGATGATGCTTAGAATCTTCCCTCCAGGTACTCACCAAAATGCATGTATGCTCTTCGGGTCAGCTGGCAGCATCTGGGGAGCACATCCTCAACTCGGCTAAATATGGGTTAGACAGCAATCTGAAGCAGTCTGTAAGAAACAAGGGTTAAAATGTCATCCAAGGACTTAGCGTGCCATCCAGATTCCAGGGAGTATAGAGGGTGGAGGGGAAGGTATACAGAAGAAAAACAAACACTGTAGTTATGGGAATATTAGTAGAGGACATTCTTTGAGTCCCGTTACTCATGGCTATGATGCAAGTACATTGCAAACTGGCAGTGGGCAGATGCAAATAACACTTGAGGTAGATATGTGGCCAGAATCTGAACAGAGCCTTCTGGAGGCAAGTACAGTCTAAGCCAGAAACAGGCATAGGGACGGTCAGCATAGATGATATGGTGGCATAGGCAAGAATGCAAGCCCTGCCATACAAGATACTTGGAAGCAGAGATATGAAGTCTTTCCTGTACCTCATTCAGACAGATCAAAATCCTAGGCTTTTGCTAATACATTTGAAAAACTGCCACTGTCCCTTTGTTATTCAAAACAATGGTTCACTTTCAGCAAAATAACAGTGTGGCTTGCTGTCTAGGGAGTTTATTTGATCTAATTATTAGAGCAGACAGCAGGCTTTACTTCCAAGACTATGTACGTTTCTGAGCAAGTTAAGATCTCTATTTTCCAGTTTCCTTTTCCCTCACTTAAGTGTGTGGCCTTACAGCATAAAAAATGATGAGGAAGGTATGTCATTACTTGAAATCTTAACTTGAAATCTGTTGTTACAAGGTGCTGCCATGGGTTTTTAATTCTTTCTCCAATTGCAGGTTAAAGAAAAATGACTTCTCATGAAGGAGAGTATTACTGACTCACCAAGTACAGTTTATGTGAGGAAGCTGGTAAGCGGCCAACAGCATAACTCCCAACAGATCTGTTATTTTTTCTGTGCCTCCCCTCCCCTAAAAAACAAGAAACCCTTCACTGACACTGGACAGTAGCTGCCACATTTCCACCCCAGAGGCTGTTATATTTTAGGGAAATGCGGGAGGACAATGCAACTCCTGTACACCCACAGTCAAGGTTCTATGATTTATTATTACTGCATCATTTAAATGTGCATCTATTACTTGTGTAGCCCAGGTAACTTGGGTATATACTCCCCTTCTCCAATTGAAGGGGATTGTTAGCTGGCAGGTGTGCTGTGGGGTGGGAACTGCATACCATTGTTTCCCTCCGTCCCTATAGAGCCAAGTCAGGACAGTCAGGGGACTTAACTATATACAAATTTATTTACATTAACTTTTCACAAGGGAAAGGAACATGGATAGAAACATATGTACAATGCATATATAAGATATCTAAACCAGTAACATAAACAATACCCCCTGAGTAAATGACATAAAACCTTATACCAGTGCTCCAGATACAGGTAAATCACAGGTAAATATCTGATCTGAAACAGATAAACCCCAAAGATAAACTCAATCCTGAGGAGAAACCCCAATGCCCTTGGGCTTTTCCCAAGCCCTACAAAGCAGCTGGTAACTTTAGGGGGGCCCTCTCAGTGGGACCTCCCCTCTCAGGAGTCCTTAACT